CTGTCACAAGGCGAATATCAGGCACAGTCGCCGGGAACTCTCGCTTTATTCGGAGATAACATGGACAGAATTTGAGGTCAAGCTGAGCATGAAACTTATATATTTCAAATCATTTGACCACGTCATAGGAAGGAAGGTAACGAAACTCAGTCAATAGAACGCTTCATAGTTGCTCTAGGTGTATTTGCATGGTCAAAGCCACACTCTATAAGTGTACGTAAATTACGTGACCAAACTGTGTGATTTGCTTTCACTCGACCACGTGTAACAATTACGTGTTCTTTTGACCGCACCGCTACGATCTTTTATGATCAAACGATGCTACTGGAAACAGTAAATTTATAAGAGCAATTATTGATATTTAGTGAAGTTAGTCTGGCAAATCCAAATGCTCGACATTAAATAAGAGAGAAAGATTTTACGGAATTAATCTGCTAAGTAAGCGACTCCAAGCCTTGAAAATCAGCATCCTAAGTTCTGTATTTTATTTAGGATCGAACATTGATCACTGGCGCTAGTGAATAGTATGCAACACTTCCATCCTCGAAGCGGATACCACATTAGAAATATCGATTAGTGACATCTGTTCAATCTACAATTAAATATTTGAAGTACTAAAAAATTTTTGACATGCATAATTAGGCACTTGTCAATAACAGCCTCTCTTGTATCATTGAAATCAATTCTTGAAACATTCTCATACACTGGATCCGTGAGGTGCAAGGTCACCTGATTTTACCCGGATTAAAAAAAAAAGCCTACATTTTGATAAAGTTGTTTCGGCGGAAACAGTTTTGCATTATAGGAAAATGGCGTACAATATTCTAATTGTGACAGTAGCCGTTTTCATAAAGGAAACATTCACATTCATTGACCGAACAGCTAGTGTTACTACCAGTTGAATTTCATATCATTTTCTTAAGGGTTTTTCAGGAAATTAAGTCTCTCAAGTCCACTAACTCTTATGGCTCTTTCTAGATAGGTGTTTCCTTCCAATCGTTTTTTTAACACTGTGGAACGATAACATTTTGATTATGTAAAGTAAAACCTTTTACATCTTCCTGGGTAAGACGATAAACTACATCCGCGTCCTGGGTAAGACGATAAACAACATCCAGCAGCAAGGTCACTGATCAGGAGGTTTTGAGGAGCGAGGAACCACCTCTTATTACTGGTGTTCATAGGCCCACCCTGACCCAGGGTGGTAGCACCTGTTAGGGTTCCAGCTATGGGTAAATATTTAACTATTACCAGCAATCCTTTTTTGAAAAAAAATTATTACCAGCAATACAATTTTGAAGAAAAAATATTACCAGAAACAGATTTTTGACAAAACAAAATATTACCAGCAATAAAAAATGTCGCATTAAATAACCCATTGGGGTGTTGATATGCCGTAAACCAAAATAAACCAAACCAAACCAAAACCGTTTACAATTCATATTTTGGTAAAATCATTCAACGTATTCTTATCGTAAGCATTACAATAGGAATATTTTGGAAATGATTATTGAAGTTAGCCATTTTCACATAGAAAAACATTTAACATTCATTAGCAGTTTTCCTATTAAAAACATTCAGCTTTCATTGACCAAACAATCAGTCAAAATTTGTAGAATTTTTTTTTAAAAAACAGTTTTCATCAAATTAGACTTAACAATTCTACATTTTGTTTTTATTAGTGCGGATTAATTAATTGATTGATTTGTATTTTACGGCTTATTTAAAGCCGAAATATATTTTTGATTATAAGATTAATTCACGTCCTGGGTATGACGATAAACTATATCCGTGTCCTGGGTAAGAATATGAACTGCAGCCAACAGCAAGGACTTTGATTGAGAGATTTTGACGAGCATGAAACCACCTCTTATTTGCTGGTGTTCCTGGGTCCGCCCTGACACGGGGTGGTGGCACCTATCGGGGTCCCAGCTATGGGCAAGTGGTTAACCTTCCTAAAAGGTGTCAAAGCACTATGAAAGTATAAAAATAGGTTTTAATACCAGCCATACTTTTTTGCTAAAATTACTACCATAAATACATTATTACCAGCAGTACATTTTTGAACAAGAAAATATTACCAGCAATACATTTTTGGAAAAAAATTTTACAAGCGATAAAAATCTTGTCGGCATTAAATAACCCACTGAAAGTGATATGCCATAAAACAAACCAAACCAAAATTAATTAAAAGAAAGAAAAAACTTGTAATTTCAACGAATGAATTTTTTTATGGAAATATTTCGGTTAGCAGTTCCCAGTCTTGGTCAATCCTTAATTTGAGTAAAACAGTACAAAGAAATTCGAAAAGCTTAAGAATTTAAATCAAGGAAAACAAAGTTGATGACGTTTACAATGTAATAGAAGTCAAAAAAAATTTAGTAGTGTCCAAGACTAACAACTGCTAACCGAAATATTTCCATAAAAAAAGAAAATAAATCATTGGTTGGAATTACAAGTTTTTTCTTTCTTTTAATTGTGCAACTACAAAGAGAGACAAGCAGCCTAATTTTCAAACTAAGATTAATTCTTCTTGGCGAGGGATATTAAAAACAATTTTGTGAGAAAAACAAAAAAAAATTCAAATACAAACCATACTATCTAACCTATAAGTTATATTCATACATTTCTCGTAAGTGAATGTAATGAATCCGACTGGAATTCGAACCCGGCCCTCACAGTTCTTCCGAGCCACTATTCTTTATATTTATTAACGTGGAAAATTAACAATTTGATTATATCAATATAAATTTACATGTTGCTAAGCTTTGTTTAATCAGGTACAAGGCCGCAATAGTAGAGCTGAAATTCATTAACGGCGGCTTGCAATATTTAGTTTAATAAACACTGCATTGCAGCAATTGGCAAAAGATTTATATTGTCTTCTTCAATGAAATGTGACCGTGAATGGATCCAAAGAGTGTGAGTTCAATACCTATTTAAGGTGGTGGAGAACTTGGAGAGAGGAAATTAACAAGAGATAACTGATAACTGATATCCATTAGACATGGCACTTGGAACTAGAACAGTCTACCCCAGTGAGCGAAATAAAGGGTTCAGTTCGACAATCCAACCACCTGAAGAAGGCCGAAGCGTGCAACGGCCGAAACGTCGTGATAAATATGGCGACAAAGATGAGGACAATAGTCCGAATAATGTAAATTCGGTAACCAAGAAATGTTCATAAATGAAATCCATCCGTTCAAGATGTTTGGGCATTTTAAGTACACGATTTTTTTTTTATCTAATTGAGAAAACGAACAGGTTTTAAATCTTTTAAGGGTCCATACCGTAGCGTGATTTTTAAAAAAACTACTGGCGCTCGACCCTTTGTATAGTTATTTCAATACTCACTAGACGCACTTTCTTTGTAGCCTTGTACCTGACTAATATAGGTTTCTTTATAACTATAATTTACCTATTAATTAGGCTAAAAGATACCATGAGAAATTACATCCGAATGAAACTTAAGTAAAATGAATTACCTGGCCAGTATTATTTTCTCTCTGTATAATTAGACAGCAGAGTTCACAATGCATTTTTAACAGTGGTATTCACTACTTTAAAAGGCCCAAGAGTCTCTCGAGGTAAATGCTTACAGTGTAAGAGGCGCTGTATCAACAGGTTAAGGTAGTAGTGATCTGGGAAACACCAGTTTGGGAGCCGGTTCCACCAAGTAGCGATTCGTGGAAAGAAGCTGTTCGAGTGGAACTTACATCTCACCAATGGAATGTGAAGAGAATGAGGGTGGTTCGCTACAATGTGGGTTACATGGCGAACCTCAGCCGCGAAGGTTAGAATTGGTGGAACTAAGGGACGTAGTTCGTCTGACCACTTTCTATGGAAATAGCGATAGAACAGCTAGGGGCTTACGACTTTTCGTTTGTGGGGAAAGGGATTGCAGAGTGGAAAATAATTCGTCACCCACAAGGACGCGGATATGCTTTTGAATTCTGTCGAGCCTAGAAAGTGATGACTGAGCAGCTACTGTCCATATACGGTAGCTGTACTCCAATTTCGGCCTGATCTGGCTCTTGTAAAAGCAGATATATTAAAATATGTATAGTGAAGCGTTGAGGCCTTGTTAGGGCCAGAAATAAAGACACAAGAGAGGAATTGAGTTAAACAAATATATTGACAGAAACAGTAATACAAACATATACAAACGAGAGTGTTACAGCAAGAATGTTCAGTCCGACTGTCAGAGCTGACTGCTGGAAACTTCCCTCTCTGAAAGGCAGTACCTGCTCCTATTTATAGCTGGGAGAGTCCATGTGTACGTGGGTAAATTACAATAACATGAAGAGAGTTATTTTTAATGATAATAATGCATTAAAACCGTGTGATGAATGTATTGTATGTAGATTTCAAAACCACTATATATCTAACAAAATAACTCTGAAGTCTATGTTTAAAATTTTCATTAGAAATGGTCTTTTGATATCTCCTACCTCCAGGCAGTAAACTGATACGACGAATACCCAAAGGAAGTTTCCCGGCTTATGACGAAATTCAGTGTTTGCTTACAATTATTATCTCCATTTAACCAGAAAGACGAAAACGAATTGCGAAATTGAAATCTTTCAAAAACAAAAGTTAATTTGATTTTCGAACTTAAAGTTTCAACAACAGCAAATATTTGGGAGCGAATTTGTTATTCTGCTCGAATCGTCGTTTTTAAAAACAAAAGGCGACAATTTTCGCTGCTTCACGCCATAATTTTTTTTTTTTTAAATTTTTTTTTTAGTGAGTGAATTGTGTTTCGGCATACAATGCCCCGCCTTGCCGAGTTTGACAGCTAATTAAATTGAACATCGTAAGATTTTGGAGTCCAAAATATTTCTATACTGACGATGAACCTTCAAATGTTATTTATATTTATTTACTTATATTTATTTTTTATTTGCGTTTGAGATTCTCTGAATCATTACGTTTTATAGCAAAATATAATAGCTACAGCGGCAATTATTTCAGATAAAAAATATTATGAGAAGAAACGAATGTTTGTAGATGAATATGTTCGAATAAGCTCGCTCGCTACTACCTCAGTAACCTTTATTATCAACCGGAAGTTGTAATCATAGCGTTTATCGAAGATTAATTCTTGCTGCAGTTTCCCGCAGTGCAATCGACGGGAGCATGTTACATTGTCCTGGGAGCGTGCTTTTAATCTTAAATCTTTAAATAACCATTTCATAAAGGAAATGTCTGAATTTACATCTATTATGGAAATCTTTTCTGTTTCCCATTTGATTTATAGTAAACGGAAGATCTTAACTTATTATTTACAACTCCAAATCTGAAAAGGATTTTCTTTTTTCTTTTTTTTTTTTATAAGAAAACATATCTGACATTGTAAAAAGACGAAAGAGATTTTTAACAAGGAAATGAGTTGCTGAGATACTCTAAATTCTATCAATGACTATTTCTCTCCATGCACGCATGTGTTTCAGTTTGTAAACGCACATTTTGTTGCAAGCAAAATTAGAATTACATATATCATTGTCATCTGATGACATTTCAGTAGGAACTATATATAAATTGATTTTACTTGTGTAGTTTGATAAAAAAAAAAATCTTTGATGGAGAAGCAAATTTCCGTTTAATCTATAAGTTTTTCTTTCTATCTGTTTCTGCTATAGCTCGGCCTCTTACTTTCTCTGCCTGTCTGTCTCTTTGGTAATAGTAATATTTCCCTACACGGAAACTGTTATGTTTTGCATTTCTCTCTGTGTAGTAGTAGTCGTAGTACAGTTCTCCGTCTCCTGAATAGCAACCGGGTTTGCTAGGTATAGTTGTTCCCTATGTTCACCAGTTGTTCTCTATTTATACTTGTCTAATTTGGTACGATACTACAGAAACAGTTGGTATATATTAACCGAGCAACCTGTACTGCTTTCTTTTAATATTTATAAAAAAAAATTCTCTTAAAACAATTTTTTAAGGAAAATACGTTCCTCAATTCCAGCAGCTGTTATAGCTCTTCCTAGTATTAATGTTGGTTTCCTACCTAACCTTTTATTTGAAGTAGCGTGGAATATCTGTATCGTGATTGTCATTATTTTCTATTTGAGTTACATCCATTTTAGTTGTTGCGGCTGTTGGCAATCCTTATGTGATGGGATTTCTGTTATTTGGTTCTTTTATTTCTAGTTCCATAGCGTCAGTCCACAATGTGCAAAGAAGGATGGGCTTTGCCAAAAAAACCCAGGCCTTTACTCGCTCAAAGGCATTAATAGCGTGTAAGTGCGCAGGCGCTTAACACACGCGCACTAAAAATGGCGAGCGTTAGACAATATCAAACATTGAGAAATAATTTCTTCGAATCCCATATCTAAATAGGAAAATATTTTTTATTATATTCAAAACGCTTTTGAACCCGTTATTTTTGTCACTTAAGTTGCTGTAACAGTGTGTCGGACGATTCATTTTGCTTTCCTTACAAGCGTTCAAACTGCATGAAAAGAGAGACGTCTCCTTTTTCTCGGTAGTTCGAATCAAAAACATGGAAGGAAGAAATGTGGTATATTTTCTGGTAGGACTAACGCATTGATAATACCACTTTAAAACGCAAGCGATTCAGTGTGGACCAGACCAGCCTGTTCATTGCAAAGTATGTAGCCTACTTTGTTTTATACAAGATGTTGATTTTTTTCTCCTTTCTTTGGTAAATAAATCCATAACGTATTCATGTCTACATCGACCTGTCATACATTTTTCGCAAGAGTAATTTATACAAATACTTTCCATGTTCTCTCTCCAATAATATCCCCTATTATTTGGAATTCATTACAGTGATAATAATGCGAACCCTTTTCTTTTCACATATAGTCTACTATGCCTGTCTTTTATATATGAGAGTCCTTCTCTATTCATATATAGTCTCTTGTGTCTAACTTTTCTACACACATATATTTATAAAATTAGCTTTTCTCTCTGTATATATAGTCTATTATGTTTGACTTTCCTACCTATATAAAAAACAATGTGTCCTCTCTTCTTACATAAGCTACTATGCCTGACTTCTTCATATATAAATATATATATATATATATATATATATATATATGTGTGTGTGTGTGTGTGTGTGTGTGTGTGCTTGCAGAGGTGTTGAGGTTTCACACTTATACACATTTTTTTTAAGCGTTTCACCCCAAGCAAGGCAGGAAGCTACTAGCACGCAAGGGGTTACAGAAGATTTGGAGCGAGAGCAAATAGGAGTGATAGAGGAAAGGATGAAGAGAAGGTTAGGGGATAGATCAAGGCATCTGGAGATGTCGATTGACATTACATTTGAATAGTCGGAGATTATACATACCAGGGAAACAGGAATAGGGAGTTCCACAGGCGAGAGGTGCGAGACACGAAGCTATTGGAGTAGAAGAGACGGCTACATTTAACAGTTTCGACAGTGAAAGGGTGAGAGCGATATGCCAGCCTCGTAGGACGCTTAAATTCATGAAGACTGGGAACCAGCGAAAGCAGCTCATCGGAGCAGTTATCATGAAAGTATTTGTAAAAAAAAAAGACAGAAGGAGGCACGTCTGTGAGAGAGCGACTGCAGACGAGATGCCAGATCAGGGCCAATTACATTGCATATCCGTCTTCGGATTTTATCAAGGACCTTGAGACAAATAAAAGGGGCTACAGACCATATATGGCAGCAATAGTCCATGCAAGGGCGAATTGTTGATTTGTAGATTTGAAGGATTGACTCCGGCGAGAAAAAATTCCTGGCACGGCACAGGAAGCCGACTTTCCTAGACACATACATACATCAATTATGAAAATGACCAAAGAGAGAATTCTAAGACTCAGGAATCTCCCAGTCTTTTTCTTAAAAGCAACTTGAAAGAGGCTGACCAAAATTAACGACAAAAAAATGAAAACTACAGATAAAGGTCACTTTCTTCAGAAATAGTCATTCACTCCAGTAGTTCACTGTTATTAACAAGCAGGGATTTTTTTTCTCCTGATGATGGCCATGCTGGCCGAAACTAGTCGCGAAAACTAATTGAACTAATAAAACAAAAAATATTAATATACAACCCAATGTGTCTAAAAAAAAATTTAATATTTTAATATTTTATCGTTCAAAATATTATATATATATATATATATATATATATATATATATGAATGATGTGAGCTCTTCTCCATATATTACACACATGTATATATTCGGAGGAGATTTTGTCGTCACTTGTTTCTGGGAGGAATTTATGAAATTTGGAATAAACGCTATATATATATATATATATATATATATATATATATATATATATATATATATATATATTGCTTGTTTTTGTCCATGAGATGGTGATAATAAAACTTTTATTATTTGCTACAACAGTTTATTAACGTTTGAATAATAAAATACTACTAAAACCGAGAAAAAATCATGTAGTGATAAAATAAACTTTTCATTTAAAAACTTTTTTTATGATTAAAACAACGAAGTAAAAGCAATTTACCTTCTTTTTTTACCTAACACGAAAATAACTACGGCTGCTGCACAATTTTGGCCTAGTGAGAATGCCTCGGGCTGTTATCCTCCAGGAATGATACCGGGTAAAGCTGGATGTAGTATATTCCTTCCTTTCTTTCTCTTTCTTTCATATCCGCCTGCTTTTTCTTTTTGTTTTTCTCTTATCCTTTTTTATTGTTTTAATTCCTCCCTTTTTCTGTTTGTTCTTTTTATCACTCAGTTGTTTTGCAATAAAACCGTATTTCTTTCTTTCTTTCTTTCTTTCTGTCGTTCTGTCTTTCTTTCTGTCTTTCTTTCTTTCTGTCTTTATGTCTTTCTTTCTGTCTTTCTTTCTTTCTGTCTGTCTGTCTTCTTTTTCTGTCTTTCTTTCTTTTATTTCTTTCTGTCTTTCTTTTCTTTCTGTCTGTCTTTCTTTTTCTGTCTTTCTTTTCTTTCTGTCTTTTCTTTCTGTCTTTTCTTTCTGTCTTTCTTTCTTTCTGTCTTTCTTTCTTTCTGTCTTTCTTTTTCTTTCTTTCTTCTTTCTTTCTTTCTTTCTGTCTTTTCCTTTTTTCTGTCTTTCTTTCTTTCTGTCTTTCTTTTCTTTCTGTCTTTTCTTTCTTTCTTTCTTTCTTTATGTCTTTCTTTCTTTTCTTTTCTTTCTGTCTTTCTTTCTTTCTGTCTGTCTGTCTTTCTTTCTTTCTGTCTTTCTTTCTTTCTTTCTGTCTTTCTTTCTTTCTGTCTGTCTTTCTTTCTGTCTTTCTTTCTTTCTGTCTTTCTTTCTGTCTTTCTTTCTGTCTTTCTTTCTTTCTGTCTTTCTTTTTTCTGTCTTTCTTTCTGTCTTTCTTTCTTTCTGTCTTTATGTCTTTCTTTCTTTCTTTCTGTCTTTCTTTCTTTCTGTCTGTCTGTCTTTCTTTCTGTCTTTCTTTCTTTCTGTCTTTCTTTCTTTCTGTCTTTCTTTTTTCTTTCTTTCTTTCTTTCTTTCTTTCTGTCTTTCTGTCTTTATGTCTTTCTTTCTGTCTTTCTGTCTTTATGTCTTTCTTTTTCTTCTTTTCTGTTTTCTTTCTTTTTTCTGTCTCTTTCTTTTTCTTTCTGTCTTTATGTCTTTCTTTCTGTCTTTCTTTCTTTCTGTCTGTCTTTCTTTCTTTCTTTCTGTCTTTCTTTCTTTCTTTCTGTCTTTCTTTCTTTCTTTCTGTCTTCTTTCTTTCTTTCTGTCTTTCTTTCTGTCTTTATGTCTTTCTTTCTGTCTTTCTTTCTTTCTTTCTGTCTGTCTTTCTTTCTGTCTTTATGTCTTTCTTTCTGTCTTTCTTTCTGTCTGTCTTTCTTTCTGTCTTTCTTTCTTTCTGTCTTTCTTTCTGTCTTTCTTTCTTTCTTTCTGTCTTTCTTTCTTTCTTTCTGTCTGTCTTTATTTCTTTCTTTCTGTCTTTCTTTCTGTCTTTATGTCTTTCTTTCTGTCTTTCTGTCTTTATGTCTTTCTTTCTGTCTTCCTTTCTTTCTGTCTTTCTTTCTTTCTTTCTTTCTTTCTTTCTTTCTGTCTTTCTTTCTGTCTTTCTTTCTGTATTTTGTCTTTCTTTCTTTCTTTCTTTCTTTCTTTCTTTCTTTCTTTCTGTCTTTCTTTCTGTATTTCTGTCTTTCTTTCTGTTTCCATCACATTCGTTGTCTTCTGCATGTCCATCTGTGGTGATACAATGAAACGCTTTCATTCTTTCCGCTTCTGTCCTCCATATCTTTTTTTCTTTCTCATTTCCTCTTCTTCTCACTTGTCTATATGAATCTTTCATATTTTTTTTTCATCTTCTTTTCTATAATTTATTTATTCCCTCTTTTATTCCCCTCGTTATTATTTTGTCTGTGTCCTGTCCTTTCCCTCTTCGATGCACCATTTTTCTCCTTCTATGTTTATTTACAAAGAATGTACGAAAGAAATCTTTTCGTCCTGGGTATGACGATAAACTACATCCAACAGCAAGGCCTCTAATCAGGAGGTTTTGAGGTTTCGTTTCATTTGTTTTGTTTTACGGCACATCAACCTCAATGGGTTATTTAATGAGGACAAGATTTTTTTTCCAGATAATATTTATTTTCAAAAATGTATTGCTGCTAATTTATTTTTCAAAAGTGTATTGGTGATGATAATGTTTTTCTTCAAAAATTCCTTGTTCTTTCTTTGTTTTGTTTTGTTTTACGGCATATCAACGTCATTGGTTTATTTAATGCCGACAACATGTTTATTGTTGGTAATTTTTTTTTTTTAATGTATTGCTGGTAAAGTTTTTTCCTTCAAAAATCTATTTCTGGTAATATTTTTTCTTAAAAAATGTATCGCTTTTCATATTCTTTTTTCAAAAATGTATTGCTGGTAATATATTTTTTTCCAAGAATGTATTACTGGTAATAATTTTTTCTTCAAAAACTTATTGCTGGTAATAAGTTTTTTACAAAGTATTTCTGGTATTAAAGCCTATATTTACACTTTCATAGTGTTTTGACCCCAGTTTGGGGGTTAAATATTTACTCATAGCCGGGACCCTAACAGATGCTACCACCCCAGGTCAGGGTGGACCTGGAAACACCAGCAATTAAGAGGTGTTTCCGCGCTCTTCAAAACTTCCTGATCATAGGCCTTACTTTTGGACATCGTTTTACCCACGACAGGGAGCATGGAACCACCTCTTAATTGCTGATGTTCCCAGGTACACGCTGACCCGGGGTGGTAGCACCTGTTAGGGTCCCAACTATGGGCAAATAGTTAACTCCTAAGTTGGGTTTAAAACACTATAAAAATGTAAAAATAGGTTTTAATATCAGTAATAATTTTTGGTAGGAAAAATTATTACTAGCAATGTATTTTTGGAAAAAATATTACAAGCAATAATTTTGTCGGTATTAATTAACCCATTGAGGTTGGTATGCAGTAAAACAAACCGAATCAAGACAAACCGAAATCTTTTACTGCTGTATTTTTACGTCTCTAGTCCAGACATACTTCAAAACGAAAGTACTCACATGTGCCTAAATCGTATATCACTTCAATGCGAAACTATAGGTGTCAGGGCGAATTTGAAAGCGATTTGCGTTTTAATGAGAATAAAAACAAAGGACATAAGTAATTTGTTAACTGCCTTTGGGAATTTATTGTTCACCTCACAATTTTATGAACCTTGATTCTAAACATCAGTTCACCTTCCTCATGGGCGAAGACAGATTTTATGCGCATGTCAAATAACCTTTTTTAGTTCTAGTCAACTTTCTCTGTTTCCAACCTCTCTCTTGCTTTTCATTCCATTTTTTTCTCAATCTCTTTTGTTTAAATCTTAACCTTTAACTGACTGGTAAACCTAAATCAGTCATTGGTTTTACCTCCGGTACTCGATGGGCAAGTATATTTTGGATGTATGCTGAATAGAACAAAGCTATCTGCGATGATTGCTGTCACTAGCATGTAAAATCTATTTACTTGACCTCACGCCCAGTTACTCTTCAGTCAGTTATGAGCCATGCGTGATACACTCTTAGACGATCATGTATTTTTCGATACATGACTGACGAGGCAGATTTTTCCCGCAGTAGGTTGCTATTTCTTTCTGAGGTAGACCAGTTGCCATCCAAGGCTACAGAACCCGGTTTGTCTGGCTATTTATCCATAGATGCGGGGAAAGGAGGATTCATACCTTTCCCAATGGTATTAGCACGTAAGTGAATGTAATGGATTCGACTGGAATTCGAACTCGGCTCTCCGATTCCTCAATCCGAGCCGCTATCCTGTTACTCTTACTAGCATATAAAACCCTGTTTCTATAGCATAACAGTTGTTATGCTACTGAAGATCGTCCTGGTGTTGCAATTTCATTCGGTCGCTTTATTTACGCTAGGCTTACAGTGGCTACATAATTTGTGTCTCTGAGGCTCGTCTTCCTATTCGCCATTTTGGTAATACCTTTACAATGGATCTAATTTTCCACTTTATTTACTGGGAGGTGAATTCAATACGAAAAGTGCCCGCGACTTAAAATATAAAAAAACAATTTCAATCTGAAAATATATTCAACGAAACGTTAGTATTCGATTCAACTTAATTGCTTTCGAAACCGCTAACAAACATCTTTTTTTCTATTGTATATAACTTTGGCATCTAGTCTACAATCGCTATCCCACAGACGTGCCGTGGTTTCTCTCTGTCTCTTCCACAAGTATTTTCACGGCAACTGTTCCGACCAGCTACTATCGCTGGTTCCAGACTGCATGAATTTAAGCGAGCTACGAAGCTGGCATCTTGGTCCCATCCTTTCACTGTCAAAACGGTTAAATGTAACTGTCTCTTCTACTCAAACAGCTTTTTTCACCACTTCCCATCTGATAGACTCCCTTCCCCTTATCTGCTTTCCCGATTACTATAATCTTCAAATATTCAAGTGTAATGTCAACTGACATCCGACACTCTGAGCTTTCCCCCCCACCATCCTTCTCTGTATCCTTTCCCTAAACATACCTCTTTATTCTTGTTCTCAATCCTCCGTAACCCCTTGCGTGCTAGTGGCACTCCCGCCTTGCTTAAGGTGAATTGCTTTAAAAAAATTCAATGAATACTTGTTCTGTTCCTGGTAATTTGGATCTTGTGGACTGGCGCTACAGAATCAGATAAACCACATTAGTTGAAGACTTTCGCCAAGAACAATGGACAGAGCATATAATTCGATAAGAAAATAATAGTATAATCAAGATGTTGACTTTCCACACCATTTTGAAGAAAAGTTTCGAAAGGAATCCACCTCAGCATCAATATTAGAAAGAACAATAATATTAACTGGACTTGAGAAACCTTTTGAGAGATTTTTTTTAAACTTTCAACCGACAGTAATCCTAACTGTTCGCTTAATGAATGCTAATCTCACCATAACCATACCCTCTACACTCAGTGTAGTACACGTGATAAACAACGAAACCAGTTTGATAAAGATCGTTTACAGCAAGCGAATAATATTAATCTTAGCATAGTCTGAGACATAACCTCGATACGAAAGCATTCATGAACGTAATAATTACATTAGCGAATAAGTAATTCTTGCTAGTTATTAATCTACTTCATAGGGAATAGAAAACATGAAAATGGAACAAATCATCTGAGAATGAGCATACTCCTTAGGCATTGTTATGAATAACAATTATTGGTCTCCCTTGTTTCGTTACTCTCCTCTTTGAGAGCGCTATTCCTGTTTACTGGGACTATAAAAGGACACTATACGTGAATCATGTGTTTTCAGTTGAACAAAGCTTTCTTAAAGCCTACATCTGTGTACTTTTGTTATTACAGGCATGTTATTTCCTCTTACATATATTTTTGTTTTCTTGAAATAAAACAAAAGCTATTTTTGGTACCCAATTCAGAAAGAACTTCAGATTTTTTTTTGTAAACCAATCCATAAAACAACGGCTTTAAAAGTAATCAAAATTGGGGTGGGGCTGTGGATTGATCGACATTGATCATGAGACAGATTATTAATACGATTATGAAAAGATTTTTATTCGTTGTTATAGATGTTCCGCCAAACGAGATCGTCCTGGATATGACGATAAACTATATCCGGCAGCAAGGCCGGTGATCAGGAAGTTTTGAGGAGCGTGGAATCACTTCTCAATTGCTGTTGTCCCAAGGTATACCCTGACCTGAGGCGGGTAGCATCCAAACTGGGATAAAAAAATTTTTTAAAAATTTAAAAAAATAAAAAAAACTATGAAATTATAAAAATACCAGCAATACATTTTTGGAAAAATATTACCTGCAATACATTTGACTCTCGATAAAAAAAAAAGCCTCTCTACAAAAATATGCCAATGAAACCTGATCTACAAACAGATTTCTTACAAAGAGTGCATATTCTATTCATACGAACCTATCCTAAAAATCTTATCGGTATTGGGGTTGATATGCCATAAAACAAAATAAACCAAACCAAACGGCCAAACGAGACACACCAATCTTAACCTCTTCCAAATATAGGTCAACCGTTACCTATCTTCATAGTCTGCACTTATTTCTCCATTTTACGTCTATACAACAACCTCATTCATTTTTGTGACTCAACGAACATTCGTTTGACACTTTTGTGATGCCAACGAATACTTGTTGTCACTTTCGTAATGCTCGTTGTAGTAGAGACTTTGTAATCGCAGATCCAACTATAGTACAGCGTTGAAAAATGCTTATGTCAGACGCCTTCGAATATCACTCGCAATAATAGTAGTTGCTCGATAATATTCGCTCGAAAGTAAACACCTTATAGTGATCTGAATAGAGAAATAGTATAGTGAATAGTGGTCCGTATAGAAATAGAGGCTAGAGTAGAAATGCGATCAATTATACACACGCTATCTCTCATATATGCGCTTCCTCTATGGTTACATGGTCTACTTAAATCAATAATGGACTCGTCTGTTTTTTCACTGACGATCAATGTTCAAACTCAAGTGTTGGCAGCGACACTTTATTCCTATATAACATTCCGTAATTTGAGTGGCTCTTAGATCCTGTTATTTCTTGAACATTTATTGAAAACAAAACTTCTAAATCTTACCGGTTCAGATCTTGAATCGCAAAAGAGAAATGTCAAATACAGAATCTATTGGTTTAAAATGACACTGTTACTAATTCTTGATTATTCTAGTAATATTTACTAACCTAAAATACCGTATATAATCGTGTATAAGACGACTGCACGTATACTTCGACCGCTGATGTTTTTGTTTTTGCATTTTTTTTTCCTGTGACTGAAGC